TCTGTTTATCTGCCATCATTTGCCGGGCTTATATACTAAAATAGAGGGCGTCTGTCAAACACTCGGGCCTTCATGATCCTTCTAGAAACTCATCACGTGTTACCAATGTCACGTGACTTTCGCTGTCGTAACAATATTATATTCTTTTTTTTTACTCCATAAGAATAGTCAACTATTAAAAAGCGCTATAATTTCCGAGTCATTTGAAGTCCACTTACTATACACTTCTTTCTTTTCACTCAAAAGTTTTAATTATTATTTCACATCAATTATTATTTTTAGAACATAATAAATCCAGAATGAGATTCATAATGAGGTACTTATACGTACTTTCTCTTATTTCAAATGACATTAAATATAAGACATAAATTATTTAAAACTGTTTTCAACAGTAGCAGCAAAGGCGTCGACAGGTAATGGCACACGGTCCCGTGCCCCAAGTCCCCGGTTGGAGTCTTGAATAATCGGAATAGAAAATTCCCGCCCCAAATCTTTTAAGCACCTAGCGACACCTCTGATTAGCAGTTTTCGTATTATTCATCAATTTAGTTTTGAGAAATGATGCTCATGACTAATGACTACACGTTGTTAATTTTAACTGTTCTACATAAACATGGAACACGCTGCAGATATAATCATTCACTATAAAGTCTATGCTAGGGAGCTTTATTAAATGTGATTGACTTGAATCAACATAAACGTGATAAAAGGCATCTGATATGTAACAAAGCATAAACTTGTGGTAAATTTGGAATTTACTAAACGTACACTTCAACGACAGTTGTGGATTGTTTCTCATTGAGAATTTGTTCCAACATTTTTTGCCCTTCCTTTGACCGATAGTTTCTATTTTCTAGCCAAGAGTGGTTGCTTTTCTTTATGCTGTTTCCTGTTTTAAAGCTTAAAAAATGAATGTACATCACCAATGAAACATTCAGAAGACGATCCTGTGAATGAATGTACAACACTATTGAAACATTCAGAAGACGATCCTTTGAATGAATGTACAACACTATTGAAACATTCAGAAGCGATCCTTTGAATGAATGTACAACACTATTGAAACATTCAGAAGACGATCCTGTGAATGAATGTACAACACTGTTGAAACATCAGAAGACGATCCTGTGAATGAATGTACAACACTATTGAAACATTCAGAAGACGATCCTGTGAATGAATGTACAACACTATTGAAACATTCAGAAGAAGATCCTGTGAATGAATGTACAACACTATTGAAACATCAGAAGAAGATCCTGTGAATGAATGTACAACACTATTGAAACATCAGAAGACGATCCCGTGTCTTCTATTACTTGAAAATACAACGTGAAACAGTTCAGTCGATATGGCCCCGTTTTTTGTTCAACATTGGGCATGATGGTGGGTAAAACAAGATACGCGACCTAGCTAACTAATGAATGAATATTTGCTGTAAAATTCTTATCAATGCTATAAGTGTAGCTACCAGTTTGGCCACCAATTTTGATTTATTTCCTTGAAGTCGCATGTTCAATCTTTTTTTTTTTTTGGCCGCACCCTTTTTTTTTTCTATTAGATATCATGATTTTTTGTCAATACACATCAATAAATCATAGCAAGTAAGAAAATGAAACTCGACAGTAAGTAACATTGGCTTTAGGATTGCAACCCTATTATTCGGAACAGACCTTTACTTTACAGAATCAACTAGATTCTATCAAATATATGGTGTAGGTTGTCCTTTCTAAAACAGTTAATAACTTCCTTTATAGTAACGCCATGGAAACTAGATCAACAGTTTCTTGTCATCACCCGCAAGCATTATTATTTACGCTTATTTCTTAAGGAGAAATTCGTAAAAACTTAGCAAATTAGTGCTTAAAAGTTGGCAATGAATAACGAATAATGACTGTCCACCCGTACAATTCTTTTGAAAACTTGAGATAGAAACTGCTTGGCTTAACCAATACTTGTGTATCTACACGTGCTTTCACCCTATAGTTTTGCTGCTATAAATCAGCAGTCTTTAACCGGAATGACAAAAACTAAAAACGACCACCTTTACTCTTAGATCAAGCTGCAGTGAAAGTTTCAGACTAATAGCTCACGTGACTTTTTCAGTAGGTGTTCGCAAAAATTTTGGTTAAAATTGAGCGGTTTTTGTTGAATAACTTTGCACATGTCGCTTATATTAAAACCAAATGCGACATCTAATTGTAAAGATTTGTCAGTGTTCTAAATTAGAAAAAGATTTATTAAAGTTAATTATGATTTTCTATCAAATAAAGTTTCTGTACTTTCGGTGCGAAGAAAACAAATTAGGAAGAAATTCAATCAATGTTGAAAGTTTTATATCTCGTGTATTTCTTAATGGATTGCCTTCAAATTTAGAATGTGAAGTAAAGGCCCAGTAGAGCACATCCACTGAACATATGTGATAGTTTGGATTACCACAGTCCGACCAACAGAAAGTGGAAAATCGCTAAACTGTCACTCCTGTTAATAACACGCAGTTTCCAGCAGGTTGTTTTGGCCGCACGACACACTACTGTGTGTCTTGATATTTTCAATGTGTATCAAAGATTAATTTCACACTCTGTTTCCAGTCTGCTTATTCTTTAGGATTAACTCAACCAATATAAGTACAGCATTGTTTCTCAATCCCACATACCGGTCCAATCTCCAGGTTGGCAGGTTTATCCGATGTAGTTACAGAGCATTTTCAGTTCATTTGATAATATCACAATCTTATTCAGATACTTCTATTTATTGTTTGCTCTCAACTATCCAAGTTTCTGTACAAGTTTACACCGAAAACACCAACCGAACCTCGTCTAAATAGGTCAACTTTGAAAACCAGTTTGGAAGTCGTATCAAAATGAGTTCCCATTTTTGTACTCTTTAGACCTAAGACTAAACGATATAACAACCTGAAGTACAAAAATTAGTACCACTGGATCTGATGATGTGAACATGTATTACTACGCCCCGGTGGGACAGGGTTAAGTCTTCGGATTTTCAACGCTAAAATCAGGGGTTCGATTCCCCTCAGTGGACACAGCAAATAGTCCGATGTGGCTTTGCTATACCAAAACACACAAACATTGATCACTACATTATAGGGATTTTGGCGCGGCTAAGCCAGGACGGTTACTAATACGAAATTTTAAATAAAAAGAACCTTGATAAAAGGGTGATGCAAGTATAAAACTACACTCCTTTTTAAAATTTTATTAATATGGCTGCCTCGGTATACACAGTTTGTAATACTTTTGCTAACATACCTGTAAAAAGTATGGTTAATTTTTTAGTGGTTATTAACTCACTAAATGTTTTATTTATGAACTGATATAAGATTGTTACAACGTATTACAGTTTATCACTATTCTTCACATAGTCTATTCGCCCACTTTTAAACTGCAACGAACAAACAACTCTCGGCATATTTCACGATAAAAATCCTTTAGCTGTTGCGAAAGCAACGGGCGCATGCTCCCACAGACAAGGCTTAACGAAGTAACAAGTTAAATATTTTAACAGGTGATTTACTGGGTATCACGCTGAAAACAGGCAGAATCTTGAAACATCAGAATCTTCCGAGAATAAAGTTAACCCCTAAGACATCAAACAAGAAATACCGGAATTTGCTACTACAAGGGGAAGCGGAATTGGCCTCTTTCATAAAATAATTTGATAACGAATCTTACGGTTTGGAGAAGTCGATTAAAATAAATGTAAAAAAATAATGATAATAATAATAACAGTAACGAAACGTTACAATGAAAACTCAACCATGAGGTATACGAAAAATATTTCCACAGTTTTAATCACGTATCGACTATATTCTTAAACAAAGACAAACTGCAACAATGTGCTTAAGTCTTGGTGACTATTGCGTGCATAGAAAACTACTAAGTATGCTTTCCTAATTGACGAAAGTTAAACTTTATAAAATTAGGCCTTTCTGTCTAAATTATAAATACCTCATCAATCGTTATCGGAACGACACGTCACTATCTCTTGCTTCTTAATTCTTTGTTTACAGCACAGTAGGTTATTTACATAGTAGAGTAGGAAAACTTCTGTAAAATACGTAGATAGCGTCGAGATCCATACATTGACCAGACATACGCACTGACAACTGTACAAACTGCGACAACTTCACATTTCTATACCTTGCTGAATTTGATCGGTATCAAATGAACTGTTTACAAAGATAACTCTTATCTATTATTTTTATACTTAAACGTATATCGCATCAAATAATGAAAAAAGTATAATGATTTCTAATAGCAGAACACACCTAACACGTTCACACACACACGTTACAAAGCAACTCGAAATACTAAAAAGCGGAAATGCTGCAGTAAACTGTTGAAAACATACAACATTCAACTGAATGCATATGCGCGTATGTAGCTAAAATTTATTCTCCAAAAATGGACACAAAAACTTAAGAAACAAGGTAATTAAAATCGTTAGTTTAAAAAGAGGAATAGGGATCGTCAAAAAAGTACAGAAACAAGTGGAATCAAAATGCAAATATTACATTTTCAAGCCTACAACTGGGGACTTAAAAAAAGTACACAAACTAGGCTGGAAAAAGTGTCTACATTATTTCCTCAAACTACAAAGCCTTCCATGTCTACAGTACTTATCAGTTTTAGTGGAGTCAAAATAGGGATTTTTAGCTTGAGAAAATAATGTAGATACTATTTCCAGCCTAGTTTGTTTACTTTTTTCCTTACTGAGTCCCTAGTTATAGGCTTGAAAATATAATATTTGCATTTTGATTTAACTTGTTTCTGTACTTTTTGACGATTCCCGTTCCCCTTTTTAAATTAACAATTATTAATTATCTTGCAAACAAATAATAATTCGCTTGTATCAGCTGTAAATGTGATTCTAATGTCCTCTTATTTTGATTGATTTTTTACCTCTTCTTTCCATCTTAAAAACAAACAAACAAATGCTGCAGTTAAAACGATACAATAAAGAAAATATTTCCAACGTACCACCACGTGGCTTTTGCTGTGGAAAACAGATTCTGAACAGGCCTTCATCTCTGTCGAAATATCTCGCATCGTTTTCAAAATTTTTCAGGTCCTCTGTGTTCCCCTCGAGTCTTGCACGAATGATGGTTCTATTCACTCTTATCTCATACCAATTGTCCGTACCAAAACCAACAGCAAGACAAACTACCGCCACTACTGCACCAATCGTAGCTATTGATAAAGTCACCGCAGAACAGGCCATGCTATGTATGTTGTTTGTTTTTCCTTCTCTTCAAATAATCTTGATTTCCGTCACGTATTTTTAATTTTAATTAAGACTTTTTGGACTCTGTACTCTCCGAATTAAGTGTTACCTTTAAAACAATTAAAAACAAAATCGAAGGTTAAAAAAACGCTGTTGTTCTATATTTTGTTGTAAATTTTAGCTCGAACACAATTTTTACCTGTGAATACACCAACACTCGCCAACATGAAGTAAAACCTGGCGCCTTCAACTCTCCCTCCCCATACGTCTTTCGTACCCGAGGCTAATACTCAATAAAGGCCACGTGGCTCGTGTGGAGCGTGTCCTCAGAGCAGGTTCCCAAACTTGTAGTCTGTTGTGTTGTCTTAGTTCAAGAAAGTTATTAAAGATACCAATTTACGTTCTATCACAATTGATACTAGTAGATAAACTGGCATATACAGTTGTCAATAATTATCTGTCACACACCGAGTTCGTCTTGTAAGAAATAGTAAATGAAATATTGACAGAAATGTTTAACCTCGAGTTCCTGTGTACCTTTCCCGTAAGTTGGTTGCTTACACCCCCCGAACAGGTGCAATGATACAGTAGGGCGGAAAGAATGTTGATCACGTGGCGAAAAAAAGCCCACAGGCTCTTTTGCGTACAGACTCAGTAGAAACTAGATTTGGAATCGTTATATCAAATTGATGAATGTTTGACACCAAACTATACAAATATAAAACTAAATTCTTGTTCCTTCTAATTTCATATGTTATTCCATTACATAACGTTATCGTGTAAGATCGGGTACTGAGATTCAGAAACTATAATCTTAATTGGAAAAAAAAAATGATTAAGAAATATGCTGGGCCTAAAATGTTCGCTATGCACGTTGGGATAGAATCCATAAGTTCACGCATACTATCACCATCTTCTTTTGGTTGTGCTATAACAGTTGACGCTAGAACTTGTCTAGAGTCTTTATTCTAGACACAGAAAATACTACCATATATCACGAAAGGATTACTAGAACTTGTCTAGAACTTCGAGTCTTTATTCTAGACACAGAAAATACTACCATATATCACGAAAGGATTACTAGAACTTGTCTAGAACTTCGAGTCTTTATTCTAGACACAGAAAATACTACCATATATCACGAAATGATTACTAAACCTTTATCATCATTATTCTGATTGTGTATCGTTGCAGCTTAAACTCAATAACACACTCGGTGAATTTGTAGGACTACTTCGCGTCTATTTACTCTCTCGCTTGCTATGAAATGTGACTCACTTTTACCTCCTCACAGCATCCGGTTTTTGAAGCATTGATGAATAATAAGCTGTTGTTCATTTCCGCATCCCTCTGTGAGTCAGCGGTAAATATACGGACTTTTAACGTTCGAGTCCGGGGTTCGATTTTTCGCGTTTGATCAGAGCGCAGATATCTCATTATATAACTCTACTTTAAAAACCCAACCATAATATCGTCATTTCCGCATTAAAAAAATATGTTATTATTCATATTTGTCCTACATCTTCAACGGCTACACAGAAAACAAAAATTTCAAACAGACATATAGAATAAATATTAATTAATATACGAGAAAAAAAATCGTACGGAGCGTTCCTACAAGATGTGAAGAAATCAAATAGTTTCAGAATCGATGGCCACATTCAACGCCAACTGTATCTTTATTACATATTGGTGGCAAGGCTACTCAGGCTATCTTTATTACATATTGATGGCAAGGCTACTCAGACTATCTTTATTACATATTGATGGTAAAGCTACTCAGGCTATCTTTATTACATATTGATGGTAAGCTACTCAGGCTATCTTTATTACATATTGATGGCAAGGCTACTCAGGCTATCTTTATTACATATTGATGGCAAGGCTACTCAGGCTATCTTTATTATATATTGATGGCAAGGCTACTCAGGCTATCTTTATTACATATTGATGGCAAGGCTACTCAGGCTATCTGCTGATTAAAGAGAATGCAGCAGGTTAACAGTATCTTACCACAGACAATCCACTGTAAAAGATTCACTGTCACTTTTATAACGCACTTACAGCTTAAATTGTAGGAAATATTTTGTGGTATCGCACGAATATTAACCCGGGTCGCCAGCTCCTAAAAACCAGAGCTCCACCACATGGTCAACATTAAACATAAAACATTGAAAATTCAAAGTTGTAACTTTCTAGCCTCCAACTAGCGACCTGGGAGAAACTAATCTTTATTTTATATATTAGCGAGCTCTACGGTATTAAAAGCGTGGTTAAACTATACAACCGTTGTGGAGTACTTTGATGTAAAGACAGGGCCGGCCTTTGGAGTGGGCGACGTGTGCCCCCGCACTGAGCATCCACCCTAAGGGGCAACAAAATCGACATTGCAATTAGCATATCTTGTCAATTTTACAGAGGCAGGGGCGCCGAATGTAAAGTTCGCGCAGGCCACAATTTGGCCTAAGGCCGGCTCTTTGTAAAGGAACGCCTTTGACTAAGCACAAATTGTAGATGCTTTTATGAATTTTTCGGTATAAAGTAATAAGTATGCATTTCTGATCTAAATGGTTGCTTAGAAACAGTTCATTATCATTCAAATTTGTACATATATGTTTTGTAACTTAAAGCCAATTTCAGTAACAAGTATATCTAGCGATAAAATCTAGCAATCGCTCTATAATATGCATTAATTAATAAAAAAAACAAAAACATACGTACCTTTTGTCTAGTACACATATTTACATCACATAGTTTACTGTCTTCTGACTTGATCATAGTACCCCACAGTTCACCACGTGTGATTATATTTTATATGTAAGTGCATACAAAGACAGGCTTAACTTCTTAAGTTTTTATATAAATGTACATTGATGCAATATATTTAACTAGCAGAAATGCCACCCTACAGAAACGTTTGTTTGTTTGTAATTAAGCACAAAGCTTCACAATGGGCTATCTGTGCTCTGCCCACCACGGGTATCGAAACCCGAATTCTAGCGTTATAAGTCCGCAGACATACCGCTGTGCCACTGGGGGGCCCACCCTACAGGCAGCTGTTCGGTCAGTATCCTGGTGAGCGATTTGATGTGATTCTGTATTTCGGGTTTCTTCTCAGGATCTTGTCTCATAACTTGGTGAGCAAACCTATCTCTTTCTTTCTGATGTTTCATTTTCTTTCTCGAAGTTTCAGACTTTCTACGTGATAAGGAACAAACCCGAAATATAGAAGCACATTCAAATTGCTCGCCAGGATGAAGTTAGAAGAAGTCAGGGATAATTTCGTGACAGAGAAGCACGCCGTTCAGCTCGCCAACATCCTGACCGAACAGCTGCCCTTAGGGTGGTGTTTCTGCTAGTAGTCTATATAACTTTTACTTTGTACAATCGAAGGAATATACAAGTTTTATCGTTAACTGTACTGGACCTTGCATTATTTCTACCGAAAGATGAAAAGAAAAACAGTCCAAAAATAGAAACTATTATTACAAGCACATAATGATTATATGGTATTCTCGGAATCACTGATCCCCAACAGATGATCCCCAACAGAGTAAACACACAAAACGGGAGATCCGTCGAGTGCTATATTATAGGGTATGGGTTTATCTTTCCCTGTTTTTGATTGAGGCTACAAAAAGAAAGAGATGACACACACAAAAAAAAATTTCACAAATCAACAATATTTATTACAGAAAAAGAAATTAAAGTTATTTTAAAGAAAACGAGACAAGTGTTCTGTGAAAAATCATAGAGAGAACCTTTATTAGTCTCTTTTACTAGTTTAGTGTGAGCCAAAACGAAAGCTAAGACTTAAAATAAAGACAAACAAAGCAAGAATCTACATTCAAAACTTTTAGGAAAATTACAGAGTCAAAACAAAACTCCAAAATTTCAAAGTCTCTAAACCTATTTTCTGACTAAGTCTGTCTATAGAGTGGAGAGCCTAGCCCTTTGTACACAAAATAAAACAAAATCAGGTTGCTCATGCATCACTCATGTGGCCCAAGACCAATAAAACTGATCTTGGTTACACTTAAGTTGTGTACTTGGTCGCAAAAACCAAATGTCTTGATATCTAGTTTCTATAGGATTCTTCTACAGCATGGATCTGTATCATTACAGCTATAGTCGCTTTCACTCCAAGATGATGTCCAGGATCAGGACATTCATTTGGTGTACAGGGTCACACCATTGGGTAAGATAGTTTGTTTGTTTCCTATATTTTGCACCCAGATGATGCTATATAACCATGTCATGATCCAGTGACATTGTGATCCAATATGCTATCATCACTTCTAAGTTTTAAAGTTAATGATCCTCTTCAACATTGCATAGTCCACTCAAAGGGTCAATGCTTTGCCATACAAGTAATGTTACCAGTGTTTCATGAAGACCACAACAACAAGCAGTTCCTTCTTCATCGTGCAGTATCAGAGCTCAGGGCCCATAAGTGTATGGCTAGTGTACACTCTTACATGCTCTGCTCCATTCCACAACTGCAATAACATTGCCCTGATTCCACTGTTGCTGGCATTCACATTCAAAAATAACTCACAGCTTATACTAAAATAATTTTAATAATAGGAATGTATTCTCATACTCTTCAGTCCACCTAAAATATACACCAGCTTTAGTGAGAGCAGGTTTTAATAATCTTATCATAGGTTAAGGTCAGTTTTGAGCTGCTGTGATCTTTGTGGAGTCAGTTGAGATGCCGTCTATACCTATTACGTAACAAAGAAATTCTACTTGTGTGTATATGAGCACACACTTCCCTGGTTTTGACTTTAATCCTGCCACTTTTCTCTGGTGAAATACCATGGTTAGACCCAAGACAGAAGACTCAAACATACAGTCAAATACTAAGATATCATTCCCATGGACCAGGCATCTCTCATATTGCATCCTATTAAGCATAAGTTCTGTTAGTCTCTCGACGGTGATGAGAGCATTACACAGGCTCAATGGCATGACTCAGAATATTGTAAAAACTATATAGATTGTTGAAAGCAGTTTTGGCTCTGCTCTCAAATCCAGCCTAACTTGCCAGTATTTGGATGCCAGATTTAAAGTGCTGAATCATTGGACACCTTTTAACACTGTGTGTGGCAGTGGAAAGGTGTGAATATGTGTTATGGGATTCATTTGGAAGAAATCAACATAAAATCTGTTTATGTCATTCTTCTTTCTGACAGTCACTAATGGAGATGACCATGC